CTTGTTTACTATGATATGTTTATACCCACAAGAGAAGTATAATGGGTGTCGAGCTCATAGGCAGGTTTGTTCCGAAGCTAGAGGGATGCTATGGGGCGACCAAAAATGATTACATTGGAACTGGAAGAAGAAATTTTAGTCTAAGTGGTTCAGAATCCGGAAGAAAGCGCAAAACGAATGGTAGTGACAACTAGAGTGAGCAGATCTACAGTTTGTAGAGTTTTTCACCAAGAAAAGCTTTAGCCATGTCACAGTGCAAAATCTTTTAGAGAGTGAAGTGTCTATAACTTTAGAAATAAGTATGCGTGGGATCTAGAAAATACCCATTTGAGAACTGAACCCCATTTCCAACAGGAATTTAAAATAAACGTGCAGAATAATTGATAATTGCATGTTAGAAGGCGCACTTTTCGAGACATGTTAGAAATTAGTAGCGCGAGTCAGACACCAAGGTCGCCTAGGAGTCCAGATTTCAATCCTATTGATTCTATTTAGGAGTATTTCATATTCGAGATGAATTATTTCGAAACTAGGAGTTATTGTTAAAAATGGTGAATGGAAATTAATTTGAATATTTATTTCCGAATAGATATCTTTTTTTATGAATAGTTTTTGTAGTTTACTTTAGTTTAAAATTAAATTTGTATTTCCGTAAAATTGACGTCGAAGTTTTTTTGAGTCCCTTCTTGTAAGAATCCCAAAATAAATATTATTAAACACATTAGTTCAGTTTAGGGTTAGTTTATTTTCATTGATGACATGAAAAAAATAAATTTTAAATATTCGCAATGATGTGCTGCAAATTTCAAATGCGAGTTTCTCGAAAACGACGACTTGGCGAAATTGAAAAGTTATCCTCTTTTTATGAAAAAATGATTATAAAGATAATATCTTTATTAAAAATCTGCAATTTGCAGCAAAAATATTCACGAAAATGGATTTCTCATATTGAGAAATCCCGAAGTGAGAAATTTTGTGCAAAAAGTTCCATTATTTTACGAATTATTAAAAAAAATCAAAAATGTAATCGCAACTTTACCTAAATATGTATCAACTTTAGCTTTTTACGAGGGGGTACCCATAAAAAACCGGAATTGAATTGCCGCGCACAAAGCTTGTACAGTACACCTTTCTGCCGCTAGGTTGTGGATAGTACAACTTATTGCGAGTTCAACGCCATCTTCGTTTTAAATTTAATTTGTTTTGTTCACTTGCAGTGCTATTTTTTGTTAACGCTGTTTTTTTGTTATTTCGTTTTTTTCGATGTCAAGTTTAAAGCAACAACGTGCAGCTGTGAAATTTTGTTTTCTGCTCGGCAAAACTGGAATGGAAGACGTCACTACCTCCCCGTCCAAAAAAATGTCGTCAGGTCAAATCAAACATCAAAACGATGCTGATTTGCTTTTTCGACATCAACGGCGTAGTTCATGCAGAGTTCGTTCCACCAGGTGAGACCGTTAATCAAGCTTTTTATCTGGAAGTTTTAAGAAGACTGCGCAACAGTATTCGACGAAAAAGACCCGATTTGTGGCGGACAGGGGACTGGTTCTTCCACCACGATAATGCACCTGCATTTCTGTGAAGCAGTTTTTGGCTAAAAATGGCGTGGTTCCTCTGCCCCATGCACCTTACTCGCCTGATCTCAATCCGTGTGACTTCTTCTTATTTTCACGTATGAAAAGGGACATGAAAGGACAGCGATTTGATAACATTGAAGAGGTCAAGAAAAAACCTAGGGATGAGCTGTCGGCTATAGTCAAAGATGAATATAAAAAATGTTTCGAACGCTGGGACAAATGTATTAGTTGTAATAGAGAGTATTTTAACGGGGATAAGGTCGTTCTGTGATTTTCAAAACAATATATAGTTTATAAAAAATGATTCCGCTTTTTTTTTTTTTTTTTTTTTTTTTTTTGGGTACCCCCTCGTAGGGGTGCAATGTTAGCTCGCCTCCACGCGGTGCACCCTGGGTAACGCTAAAGAGCTAACAACACTTGGCAGCCAGACAATCATCTGATCTCCTGGCTACTAGTACATTGTCAACCATCAATATTACAATGCCCACCAACATGAAGGGAAAAGGACCTTCTCAGGACCACAAGACAAGAAATCTTGGTCCTATTATCAAGATTTGCCAAATAAATATAGAAGGAATAAGCTGGGCAAAATGCCAAGTATTACATAAGATATTAATTGATAACGAAATCGACCTCGTTGCTGTACAGGAAACGCACGCAGAGAATGTGGATCAAATTAACCGGAGAGGTACAATACCTGGATATGACTTGGTGGGTGCGACATACCACCGTTCCTATGGAGTAGCCACATATGCCCGATCGGAAGTTGAAAACGTTCATTTATGCTCAGCAACGACACGCAACAACATACACGAAGTTGTCGTTAAAATAGGAGAACTCTCAGTGAGCAACGTGTATAAGCCCCCAGCCTGTAGGTGGCCCCAGGACGTATTGCCGGGTCTAACACACCCAGCCACGTACGTTGGTGATTTCAATAGTCATCATACCCAGTGGAGATACAGAGCAGCCGACCAGAACGGAAATAACAACATGTTCTTAGTTTTTGATCCAAAGAGCCGGGGAACTTTTAGATCGGCAGCCTGGAGAAAGGAATACAATCCGGACCTCTGCTTCGTGACAACTGACCACGAGCAGTTACCTTTAAGAACAACAAGAGAGGTACTAACCGACTTCCCGCATAGTCAACATCGCCCAGTCTTAATCAAGATCGAAACCAGCATCCCACTGGTGACGTCCTTACAACGCCCAAGATGGAATTTCAGGAAGGCGAACTGGAGTGCTTACACTGAGAGACTGGAGAAATGCCTGGGATGGATCCCACCAACTGCAAACAATTATGAAAGATTTATTGGTGCAATTAAATCCACTGCTAAAGCTACCATCCCAAGAGGATACCGAAGACAATACGTACCTGGCTGGAATGACAACTGTGAGGACCAATACCAGAAGTTTCTCAAGAGCGGAGATCCGGAGATCGCCGACGGCCTGCTGCATAGTCTGGACGTCGCACGTCGGGAAAAATGGAGGGAAACAGTTGAGTCGCTTGACTTTAAGAGATCAAGCAGCAAGGCATGGAGCCTCCTTAGAAAACTAGGTGGAGCCAGCAAAACTTGCCGTGGCACCCCAGATATCTCTGCAGATAAGGTTGCATCGCACATTCAGGTGACAACCAGAGCCCCTAGAGACAAGAATCATACAAAAAAGATACGACATGAACTTAGTGCTCTAAAATCGAAGATCGGACCAAATGATCAGTACTCCTCCAGTTTTACGGCCCTCGAAGTCACAGAAGCATTAAGGAGCGTAAAACGCGGAAAGGCACCTGGCCCCGATGGGGTACACCCGGAGTTCCTTCTTCACTGTGGGAAGTATGCCAAAAAATGGCTTGCGCAATTCTACTCAAACATGCTGCAATCGGGCCACATACCACAGAAAATGAAGAATTCAAGAATAATAGCACTGCTGAAGCCAGGAAAACCCAGCGACCAACCAAAGAGTTACAGGCCAGTTGCGCTTCTCAGCACTGTATACAAGCTACTAGAGAGGCTCCTGTACAACAGACTGAGCCCAAAAATACTAGAATCTATACCAATCGAACAAGCGGGTTTCAGACCAGGAAGAAGCTGCACAGACCAGGTGCTTTCCCTAACATCTCACATAGAAGCAGGCTACCATGCCCAACCCCACTAAAACAGAGGTGTCATGCTTCCACCTTTGTAACCAATCAGCGAAGAGAGAGCTTACCATCAACTTCGAAGGAAAACGCCTCAACCATAACAACCACCCCAAATACTTAGGAGTCACACTGGACAGGACGCTCTCCTACAAGGAACACCTGATAAAGACCGCAAGCAAAATGAGAACAAGGACTAACATCATTCATAAATTGTGTGGTACCACCTGGGGCTCCTCAGCGGACACGCTCCGTATATCGGCAGTCGGTCTTGTCTACTCTGTGGCGGAATACTGCGCACCAGTGTGGATTAACAGCCCGCACACTGAGAGAATCGACACTGTACTGAACGACACAATGCGCATAATCAGCGGCACGATTAAGTCCACACCAATTGCTTGGCTGCCTTTCCTGAGCCACATACTGCCACCTGAAATTCGACGTAAAAACAACCTTGTTAGGGAGTATCAGAAAATAAACAATAATACAGAGCTACCTATAAACAATGAAATAGGCGATCTAGAGCGCAAACGACTGAAGTCGAGGAAACCAGCGCTAATCACCGCTAAAGAGCTGTTGGACTCAAATTTCAACGCAGCGAACGCCTGGCAACAAAGATGGCAGGAACAATGCCCATCGCACTTTCAAACTTTCCTTACTTCAGAGAAGGTTGCTGGATCTGACTTGCCTCGAAAAGTGTGGACTACATTGAACCGAATACGTGCTGGCCATGGCAGATGTGCTGACGCTCTTCATAAATGGGGATGGATAACCTCGCCAGAATGCGACTGCGGGGCCAATAATCAAACAGTGACTCACATAGTGAAAGATTGCCCAAACCGTGCCTACCAAGGACCTATCACTGATTTTATGACTGCAACAGAAGAGGCGATTGATTATATTAAAAATTTAGACATAAAATTGTAACATCAATATCTATATGCTCTGAGAACATATAATAGCATAGCACAATGTACGCCATACGATAAATAAAATAACCCCCTCGTATGTATATTACACGTATAATTTCCTCCAGATTATGCTCATTTTCATTCCGACGACGCTTTGCGTGTGTTTTTCAAAATTGCTACTTCCGGCAGACAAAATTTAATAGTTTCATACGCGAATAAAACTGCCTAAATCGAAAGGAAGGCTTTAACCAACCTCCGGTTCAGTTCACGCGAAACCCAAAACACACATAGCCACGCTAAAGCAAATTTGGATAAATTGTAGGAAACGTTTGGCAAATAGAGCCGAAGAAAAAAAGTAAACTCCCACTGTTTACTTACCGGCGGCGGAGAAACAAAACAGAAGAGCCAGAATCGGGCGTCCCAGAAATTTTCGTTTGGGCATTTTCCGTTGTTTCTCTACGTCCCACTCTGAAACGAAAAATAGCCATCAGATAACGGTGCTTACAAAGTACTTAAAGGGCCAATCTTCGGCTAATTTGATGATAAAAATGTATATGGATATGGGCACCAGATTCTTGAGTGTCTTGAGGTTCTTGAGAGAAGAAAACTTGATTATATTTTTGTTCAGTAACATAAGAATTAAACTAAATTTGACATACTGAGTATATTAATAACGGGAAATTGAAATATTGACTTAGTTTTCGTTTAGTGTGGTACACTTAGTATTTGTCGCTAAGAGGTTTGGATGAAAATGGCTAAAAGAATCGAAGATTTACGGATATTTACAAGCCTGTTCTCCCAGATCACCAGACTTGAAGCCTTTGGATTATTTTCTATGGGGCCTACGGTCTGACAAATAGGATATCGGAATGTGCCTTTATTAATCAGACGAAAAGGTATCTACTAAGAAGAAGTAACTTCCACATTAATTCAATCGTTTCTTGGGCCGTTATATGATTATGTAATAACATAAAAAAGTCACATGGTGGCCGTTTGCTTTCAGAAAATTGTTTTTTTAAAGACATAGTTTTAAATTTAAAAGTTTATTTAAAAAAATACAGGGTGAATTCTAATTGGACGTTCATAATTAACGGTTCGATTTTTAGATCCATTTTAAAAAGAAAAGTTCATACGAACACACATCCTAAACGTCTTAACTTTTGAGATAGAGGTGGTAAAAACTTAAAAATACTGCTTTAGATATTTCAATGTAAAAATTAAAAGGGCACATCTGAGCATAAATCAATGCAAATATTATTTTTTATTATCAACATTTTGCTTAATTGAGTCGCCACTGCACTGCACGCATCGAGAACTTTTTTTGTGAATAATAAAATATCTATCTAACCAAAACTAGATATTTTGTTTTAAATAGATATGCAGTAGCGACTAAATTAACCAAAACATTATTTCTCCATAGACACTAATTTCTATGCATGCTGTCATATTTACCATATTGTTATGACCATGCAGAGAAGAGATTTTTATTTTTTTCAGCGAAAGACGTAACTCGGATTCGAAAAAACCAAGAAATTCAATTTCTTTGCAAATGATTGAAAATTGTAAGAAAAAATTTTATTTTAAGCGGCGATGAGTGTTCGATTGCAAGCGAACAGATGACATCTCGGAATATATTGTCATGACATTTTTCCATCTGTGACTCAGTACGTAAAAAAAAGTGATAAGTTTTTCCGGAATTATGTATTAACCATAATTAAAATCCGCTAGTGCGAACCTATAAGAGAAATATGGACAAAATAATGCAGCCATTTTTGGGAATATTTAGAGTATACCAGTCATTATTAAATACTGGTATTCTTACTTTTAGAAAAATGTATATAAATTTACTATTTAATTAAATATAATATACCATACAGATAAAACAGAAAAAAAACACTAAAAACACGAATGCAAAAATCGTTAAAAATCATTTTAAAACCAATTTAATCATAGATGTTGGTAACAAAAAAAAAACAATTGACCACCTGTTATCCCCTCGTTTAACAATTTATAAAAAATCTTATAAATTTTGCCTGTTAATTTAAGTTAATAATACAAAAGTATTTTAAACATGTATAATTTTTAAAAATGAAACAAATTTCAAATCAAAAACATTTTGACGTTTGCTGAAATTTCGATATAAAGTGCTTCATTTTTATACATTTATCTTCTGTATGTTGCAAAAAATTAATAAACTATGCATATTCAAATGCAAATATCAATATTTCTTTAATGAAATGAGTGGCGTGCCAGTAACTGCCGAAGAACAACTAATAATTGGCTTAATTAGATCGCCACTGCACTGCATAAATTGAAATTTTGCAAAAATTGAATAAATTGAATTGTGAAAAATAAAATATCTATCTAAAACAAAATATTGTTTCTGAAAGATACTGGTTGGCAACTAAAAACTAGATATTTTCTTTTAGATGAATATGCAGTGGCGACTAAATTAATCAAAGTATTATTTCTTCATAGACAGCCAGTTACGCGCCACTAGTTTCTATGCAGGCTGTCATATTAACCATATTTTTATGACCATGCAGAGAATAGGTTTTTATTTTTTTAATCGAAAGCCGTAAATCGGACAACAATTTTTATTTTAAGAGAAAGCAGTGGCGTACCATCAATGTCTGTCAAAATGTTCAAGTCAAATTTTGAAAAAAATTTTTGAAAATTTTACCACTCTGTATGTCAAAACTTAAGACGTTTAGGACATATGTTCAAATGAAATTTTCTTTTTCAAATGGACCCAAAAATCGCTCCCTTAATTATTGACATACCGTCATATACTTTACTTTACACAACAAGCCAAAAAAGGTGTTAAAACTTAATAAGACCTCAAGTTTTCACCGCTAAATGGTCCTTTCAAATTCCGAAACGAATTCAACGTCTAAACGAAAAATAATTTTAAAACGTCATTAATTAGCTGGAAATAGAACGGTGATAATCACCAGGCTTTATACGGACCGAGCGCTATATCTGCCGTATTTCCGCTCTGTGTCTCTAAATTATCCCGAAATAATATATATCCCGCGGGAAGCGGGGATCGATTTTTCAGTCCGAAATAATTTTATGGCCACCCGAGAAATTTATTCTGCCAAAGCGGAGATTGTAATGGCATCTTTTTTTTTAAGTTTCATGTTATATTTTATCATCTACAAATCTGCCCTGATGAGGAAAGGAAGCAGTAAGCTACTGAGTTTAGGTTGGTTTGAGAATATGGTAAAGGTGCCTGCAAATATGTAATTGGAATCGCTTTTATTTATGTTATGTAATACAAATTTTCATCAAACATGGTGAAAGGAAAAATAACAACAAGAAATAATTCTTATGTGGTCGGCGTTTCGGCAATTTTATTGTCTTCTTCGTTAAAGAAATCACGTATAGTTAAAATCATTTCTTAAATAAACCAATTTAAAACAGCGCAATTATATAGTTATCAAAAAAGAAGAAAGAAAAAGTAAATACGCATAACAATAATAATTATTATTAAACTCAATTCTCAATATATTTAAAGCTCTTCGTCACCAAAACTTAACTTAATACCTACCTGATTTTTTTTTAATTTCACCTATAGGTGAGAAGAAATTGATACGAAAAAATTCAAAACGAAAAATCACACAAAGGTAAAAGATTAATAACGACTCAGTAATGGTAGTGATTACCACTTCAATCAAAATGGACTGGAAACTATCATGAAGACCTGAATGCTGATGTTTTATTTATTTATTTATTTACAAACACAAAGATTATACAAACAAATATAGGTTTAAGTGTCTTCGCTGTTCAGAGAAACACAGTTATTATACATACCAGGACATCTAATTAGTGGAGAGTTTGAGAAGTATATAGATCTAAATCTGTCTGTACTAGCATTAAAATATAAGTGGCTTATACAGGAAGGTAACGCAATAAGATTGTTGACAATTTTTTTAAGAAAAATTAGGACTTAGCAGTTTCTGCGCGTTTCAAGTGACCTCAATTTATAAAACTAATAGGTTATATCCAAAATTATTTTTTCTTATTGGACACTCTATATCCGATCCTTGCAATAGATGGCGTTGCGTAATACAAAGCCAGGATTGCTCAAACTTTTCTTTATAATATTTTCCACATGTACCTACTTCAAATGTTTACTGAAGCTTCGGTATGATACCAAAATTTTTAACCAGAGTAACTTTTTTAAGTTTTGTATTGTGTACTTTGAAGTCAATATTAATTATAAACTATATTACTTGGTATTCATCCAGATTTAAAGTCTGTGATTTTTACAATACATTTCTTGTAAGTCCCCTTGCCAGTGAAGCTGATATTGATGTGGGGTGACGATCTTGTCAAAAGCTTTAGTACAGTAATGCCTGGTTTCTTCTTAGTCTGGCGCAATCTCATATCCATATTGAATAGACTTTATTGTTCAATTGTTTTTATTGTTATCAATTTCTTAATTTTGCTACTCATTATGTTTACCTACGAATATTAATAGAGTTCGCCGAACGATATACAATTTTTGCAACCTTTTATGGCTTTGACTTCGCAATAAGCCTGTTGTAAAGCAGATGATGAAAGATGTTTGCCGACAAGAATTGTGCTGTGCGAACTGTATTTTAAAAGTAGGGAAATCTATTTAATTAAACTGTTGTATTAATTCATATTAGTGTGCTTCTTTTAAATCTTTCTAAAACAGTCCCTACTCGAGATAGGTCGATTTCAAGTGGAATTTGCCCATTAGATGGGTTGATATTAAAAACATTAAAAAGCTTTTAACTGCCATTATTAATATATATTAATTGAGGGTTACAAAGAGAAACCCAAGCGAGGTAGGCCTGAGGTTAGAGCTTCATAAAAATTTACCAAAGTTAAATGCCTGATTATGCGAACTCTAATTATTTTTATTTCCTCTCTAAAACTGTTATACAATAAAGCGTTATTGTTATTATTTTTAATAATTGATTCTATTTGTACAAACAAAAAAAAACAATTTAATAAATACTTCTTTAAGTCCATTTTAGATATACTTGAAAAAGAGGCCGAAATCATGGAGATTATTAAAAAACGCGAATTAGAACATTTGGGACACATTACGAGGATCCAAGTCAATAGCAAGATCTTATTCAGAAGACGCAGAATCTCCTGGTTGAAAAGCCTTATATTCGGAACGGATAGCCACATTCAAAAGTAGAGGACCACTCAAAGAAAACCGGAAAAAATACCCACCCCTTTTAAAAAAAAAAATGAACGGCTTGCGTTAAAGGAGACGCAATTTCAGAAATACATGCTCGAAATGTACTTGGCAACATTAAAATGTATACAATGAAGTCTACTTCTAAACCGAAATTTCATATGATGACATGTACGTTATCAAGCGCTGATCTTCATCTAAAACTTCAAATCGAAGGGGAAATGAAAAACAAAAGTGCCAACTCCTCCGTGTCAATTTAGTAAAAGTAAAAATGTAAACCATTCGC